CTGTCCAAGATGTGTGGGTGGATGCGGGTGGTGATGCTGGCTGATGGTTGCGGATGTGGTGGTGAACGGGGGCGGGCGTGGCGGGCTGGTGGGCTGGCGGGCTGGTGGGCTGGTGGGCTGGCGGGCTGGTGGGCTGGTGGGCTGGTGGGCTGGTGGGCTGGTGGGCTGGTGGGCTGGTGGGCGTACAGAACACGCTGCTGGATCGGGTGGCGTTGGTGGGTTCGCTGCCGGAGCCTGCACCGCCGGTGTCGGAGCTGAACGCCTACTTTGTCAACTTTTTCCGCGCACACACATCGTCCGAAGATGCCAAGGGCTCGTCGGGCTTGCTGCTGACGTTTGAGAGCTCTGTGCTTGTGGTTGTGGAGCACGCGCCCGAGGTTGTGGCGGCGTTGCTTCGCGAGCTGGCGGCGGGAGTGCCGTCGTCGACAACCGATGCCGAGGGCGAGACGGCGCCGCTGCTGGTGGGCGTCCGCCTGCTGGCGTTGGTGGAGGATATTCCGCGGAGACGGTTCCCGCTGTTTGCGGTGCGGGCGGTGACGCTCTCGCGGGCAGAGCGGTACGATCTCGATCTCGACGATGCTGTGGGTGTGGCGTCAACGACGTACGTTGCGCTGCTTAAGCTCGGCGACGTGCTTACGACCGAGTACGACAAGGGTTCGGACGCGCTGTCGCGGGCGCTCGACTCGCTGCGGAGCAACGAGGCGACATCCAAGCTCATTCCAGTCACCTCGAGCATGAATGTCCTCCTCTCCTCCTCGGCGCTCTGTACGCTCGACGAGTACATGGAGATCTACGAGGCGCCCGTCGACATTGCCCTCGACTCGGAGCTCCAGTATCCGCCCCCGTTTGATGGCTGGTGGTTCCACCTGTTGTAGATGAATGAAGACTGGGCGAGCACATGCTGTGTGTGGTTGTGTGGTTGTGTGGTTGTGTGGTTGTGTGTGGTTGTATGGTTGCGGATGTGGATGCGGATGTGGTTTGTGTCGCCCTTCTCCCTCCCCTCCCTCCCCTCCCCTCCCTCCCCTCCCCTCCCCTCCCCTCCCTCCCCTCCCCTCTGTCCCCGCTTGTCGCCGTCAAACCCTCTGCGGGTAATGGTTGTCGGTCGACTAATTGACCAGTCTCTTGTTCCATTAATGGTTCGTTGCCCTTGGTCGTATCACTTTGGTTGACGAACAACCGCCAACCGACCGAGACTGACACCGACACGACAACGACAACAGCGACCACACCTTCCATACCCTCCCCCCCCCCCCCCCCCCTCCCTCCTTCCTCGACCCACTCCACCTCCCTCCTCAACATTCGAAACATATGGCTTTGGAGCAGCACTCCTACGTGGTGGGCGGTGTCCGGTTCGACGTGGACCCGGCTTACACCTTGGAGAACGCCATTCTTCTCGGAGAGGGCTCGTTCGGGCAGGTGGTGAAGGCGACACTCCGTGCGACGGGGCAGACGTTTGCGGTGAAGAAGATCAAGAACGTGTTTGACAACCTCATTGATGCCAAGCGGACTCTGCGGGAGCTGCGACTGCTGGCGCAGATGAACCATGAGAATGTCATCTCCATTCGCGACATCATGCCCATCGAGGACTTGGAGCAGTTTGTCTCGCTCTATCTCGTCACTGACTTGCTCGACACCGACTTGCACAACATCTGCGCTTCGAGCAATGTGCTGACCGACGACCACTGCAAGTACATCATCTACCAGGTCCTCCGTGGTCTCAAGTATGTTCACTCGGCAGGCGTCATCCACCGTGACCTCAAGCCGTCCAACATCCTCATCAACGCAAACTCGGACTGCCGCATCTGCGACTTTGGCCTTGCGCGCGTTGTCGACCACGACGACGACACTGCGTACTACACCTCGTATGTCGCCACGCGCTGGTACCGCGCACCCGAGGTCATTCTCGAGAAGGGCTGCTACTCTAAGGCTGTCGACGTCTGGTCCGTCGGCTGCATCCTCGCCGAGCTCCTCGGCCGCACCCCGCTCTTCCCCGGCCGCGACTCGGTCCAGCAGCTCTCGCTCATCACCGACGTGCTGGGCAACTTTTCGGCCGAGCAGGTCCGCAAGACGCGCAATCCCAAGGCGCGGGCGTTCATGCGGGCCATGCCGCGCAAGCGCGGGCGGTCGCTGTACGACATGTTCCCCTCGGCTAACCCGCAGGCCGTCGACCTCATGCAGCGCATGCTCCACCTCGACCCGGACTACCGCATCTCGGTCGAGGAGGCGCTCGCCCACCCGTACCTCTCGCAGCTCCACTTGCCGTCTGACGAGCCCGTTGCCGCCTCCACCATCGACTTTAACTTTGAGGCCGCCCCGCTCACCGAGCCCATGCTCCGCGCCCTCATCTTCAACGAGATGCTGCGGTTCCATCCGGAGCTCGGCCAGTACATCGACAACATGTCGCCGACCGACGTTGTCGAGGCGCCTGAGATCACCGACATGGACCTCGAGGTCATGCGCGAGGCCCGCATGTCCGCCGCCATCCTCGAGGCTGCCGAGAGCCTCGGCGAGGCCGACCTTGCCGCCGTTGACGCCGTCGTCTCGGACGACGAGTATCTCGGCGAGGACTCTATGTCGCAGGGCTCCGAATGATGACGATCACAATGATGTTTTCCCTACGTATGAAATACCTCCCTCTGCATGTTACCCACAGTCTTGTGAAGCCAAGCATCGGCATGGGATCATGTTGCCGGCTCGGCCTGCCGTTGGGTTGGCAGGCGGGAGCAGAGCGAGTCGAGGTGAGCGGGGTGGGAGGGAGAGGGCCAAGCCAAGCCAGGCCAGAGCACTGGCCGCGACTGCGACGGACTACCTGACTCTCCCAAAGTTGGCGAAGAGGAGGAAAGGCGTCCAGGTACACATAGTCTGTGGGTGTGAGCGTGAGTGTGAGTGTGAGCGGGTGTATCTCTGCTCTGCTCTGCTCTGCTGTGCGTGTGCTGGACAACGTTGACAAGGACGTGTGGCAGGTAGCGGACAAGTCGGAACAGAGGTCGGCGAGGTAACGGCAGGCGGAAGCGAGGCAGTGACGGCTGTATTGGACGGGTTTGGTTGTACAACGATCGAGAAGGTATGGCAGAGCTGGACGAGGCCATCACATCGATTGATGCTGCTGTCAATCAGCGACTGATGCACGCCCTGTCGCTGGCTTCTAGCGGCTCGCAGGCTGGCCAGGCCGAGGGCGGTGGGTATGGTGGTGGAGAAGCAACGGGCTACCGTGATCATCAACAGACAGAGCTGCCTCGCGCGCAGCCGATGTCTTCGCACGGGCACTCGAGCTATACGAGGTATGGAGGACATGCGAGCCAGGCGCAGCCGATGTCGCAGTCGTACGCGACCGAGGCCAGATACGGAGCGAGCCGGTTTGCGAGCACGCCGGTTCCGAATCGGGCCCGAGGCGGGGGCGTGCAGGCTGCCGAGACGGCGGGGATGATGGCGCAGCTCGAGGCGGAGCACCAGGCGCGGATGGCGGCCGAGCTGTCGGCGCAGCGGCTGGCGGCGCAGGTCGAGTCGATGGCGACGTCGCGGACGGCGCTGCAGAACCAGTCTCGGCACGAGATGGAGTTGCTAGCGGCACACGCGCGGTCGCTGCAGAGCCGCGCCGAGTCGTCCGAGGCGCGGGCGCGCGAGTCGCATCTCTCGGCGTCGCGGGCGCTGGAAGAGGCCCATGCCCGCATCGCCAGTCTGGAGAGCTCGTCAGCCGAGGCAGCGGCACGGGTGGAGACTCTGACGGCGAGCGCGGCTGCAGCCGAGGCTGCGGCCCATAACGCGCGGGCAGCGTTGGCGGCGACCAAGCGCGAGGCCGGCGGCGCGGTGGAGGCTGCCGAGCGCGAAGCAGCGCGGCTGCGGACCGAGGTGGCCGAGGCGACGGCTGCGATCCGTTCGCTTCGCGAGTCGCTGCAGACCAAGGAAAACGAGGCGCGGCGGGCGGGCGAGGCGCGCGACGAGGCGCGCGAAGCGCTGGCAGCGACGCAGGGCGAGTTGGTCCGGGTCCAGGCAAGGGCCGAGGAAGAAGAGTCGCTGCGGAAGGAGAGCGAGCTCGCACGCCAGCGGGCGGAAGGCACCGTTGCCCTGCTCGAGAGCCAGCTCGCGGCAGCCCGAGGTGAGCGCAAGCGGGAGACCAACGCACGCCACGAGCTGATGGCCAAGGCGGCGCGGACCGAGGCCGAGCTGGTCAACAAAGTCCACACGGCCGAGCAGAGCGCGGCCGATGCGCGCGCCGAGGTCGACGCGCTCCGGGCGCAGCTGGCGGTTGCCCGCGAGGCCGGTACCCTCCATCACTCGTCACAGTCGTCGGCGCTGGGCGTCATGCGCGACCGGTGCATGGCGCTTCAGGCCCGGATCGAGGAGGCGACGGCCACCATCACCTCGCTCGAGAACCAGCTGGCGTCGGTCCAGCTGGAGCGGGCGTCGCTGCAGGGTGAGGTGGCGCTGCTCCAGCGTCAAAAGGTTGAAGTTGAAGGCGTGGCGGCGGCGGCACGGGCGGCGGCGGCGCATGGCCAGGCCGACCAGGCCAAGCTTCTCTCCGAGTCTGAGACTGCCCGCTCGCTGTTCGAGCTCCAGTCGGAACTGGCTTCCAAGTCGGAGGCGCTCGAGCGCGCCGAGGCCACCGTCGCCGCTCTCGAGGATCAGAACGGTCAGCTCGAGGCCTTTGTGGCGGCGCTCACTGCGCAGCTCAACAGTGCGCATCGCTCGCCCGCGGCTGCGGCCGCGCCTGCGGCTTCAGCTGCGGCTGCTGCCGTGCCTGCGTCCCACGCGCCATCCCCGATCCGACTTGCCTCGCCGCGTAGCTGGCGGCCGCCGCCGCCGCGGCACCCACCGGTCCGATCGCCTGCAGCAGGCATGTCGGCGGCTGCTGTCTCTGCGGCAGCGGCGTCCGCAGCAGCAACCGCAGCATCTGCGGCAGGCACTCGCGGTCGCCGCTCTGTTCCGCCACCATCATCCCCATCGAGCCACTCTGTCCGCTCTGATGACCCGCTTCCGCGGCGGCCACAGCTGTTGCCAATGTGACCATGGCTGAACGATAAAAAAGAATTATGGGAACAATGGATGACGTAAATGGAACGTCGTCGTCGCCAGTGATTGAGTGAGACAGAGAGAGAGAGAGGGAGAGAGGACGAAGCGAACTGACGGAATGCTGACCAACGAGCTAACGACGACGACGACGGTACATCTCTTTGAGAAGGACAGACATGGTAAGTGATGAAGAACAGAGGGATTATTACCGACTGGTGATGTCAACCATGTCCATACCCCCTCTCCTGGCCCTTCCCCTTGGCCCTTCCCCTCCTCCTCTCTCTCTCGGACGAGAGA